CTGAAACACTGGGTGCCTTTAAATCTCAAATTAAAACCCACCTGTTTAGAGTTGCTTATGGCTAAATTAGGATTAGCCATAATCCTAACTTGGATTATGGCTAATCCAAATTAGCCATAATTATGGCTAATTATTTTAATGTAATAAAATAATTAGTGTTATTATTAATAAACATTAATAAAAAATTAATGTTTTTATCTTTACTTTCTACCTATTTATTAATTTCTTTTTATTTCTCTTTCTCACTGTCTACGTTTTAATCATGTAGAGCCCCCGCGGAAAACGTCCCAAGTTAAACGACGTTTATCTAAAGTCCCACGGGGTTTAGAGTCCCAGTTGACGGCGTTTCAACTAACACGATAACGACAGAAACGTAAGTGAATTTTAAAATTGCTAAAGTTCTGGAGGTTGGAGTCCTTGTCAAACGGTGTTTTTGACTAAAGTCCCAGAGGGTTAGAGTCCCAGTTAAACGACGTTTAACTGAAGTCCTAAAAGGGGTGCAGTTTTAATGTTTTTATCTTTTTTAATCTTTTTCAAAATGTCTTTCTCTTTCTTACTGTTTATTCAATGTCACATGCTGTTTTTATTTTAATTATGTAAAGCACTTTGAAATGCCTTGCTGCTGAAATGTACTATACAAATAAAATTTGATTCATTGATTGATAGGTTTTTACGGGTCTTGGTGGCATGATGGGGCTTAAAGAACGTGATGTTGATGGAATCGCAGGATTGGGATCAATTTGTAACTGTTGATTGCTAAACAAAGTTTTGAGAGTAGTCTATAAAATCACTTACACCATTCTCACCAGTAACTTAGTGCGCTTAAGCTCACCAATTGGGTCACTACCATAGGAATGGGCATGTATTGCATCATTTATCATGATTAATTTTTTATCACAATAAGATGTTGATTTATCATAATTGTGATAAATTCCAACTAAGGATGCTTACAACCCCGTAAAAATATCCATATTGTAGGCATCATTATTTTTACTTTTTTTTTTTTCAATAAACAAAAAATTTGCCATAAAATTAAAAATATGATTAAGTACAGGTACTGTGTGTGTTTTACTGAAACAAATCCCATTTCTTCTTAAAGAAGATTACAAATAGAAATATTTTTAAGAGCAGCATTTGTGTTTGTCTGGCTAAGATTGCTGTGCTATGCAGTCATACCCATCCATTTATCTAAAGAGTAATACATAATTCTTATCACTTTTATTGTTATCAGAATAGTACTGAAAAATATCTTGGTAAAACGTTTTGTCCATATCACCCACCCCACTAAAGCCATTTAAGATAAGTGTCTACACACTGGAAGGGTCAATAAAATCAACCTCTGGCAATAGTTTATGGTCACGAGGTGATTGCGACACTTCAGGTACTCATTAACCTGCGACTCAAAGGTCACTCTGTTTATAGCAGTTTGCAATTCAATGGTGGAGCAGCTGCATCTTGTAAACCCTCTCAGCCTTAAACATCTAAGTTATATTTTATGCTTGTGCAAAATTTTATTTGTAATGTCAGATATCAACTTCTGGTAACTTGATGCAAAATTTTGTAACTCAAAATCAGGAAAGCATGCATTTGTAACCAAATAGGTGGTCACGAGTCAGTGATTTTTTGTGCTGTTCCCAAATCCAGGTAAATGCAGACTCTTGTGTCAGAAAAGGCATTTTATGTAAAACTTAAGGTAAATCAAGTATGTGAATCATAAACGTTGGAGACAGATGAGTCGCTGTGGCAACACCCAAAGGGAAAAGTCAAAAGAGAAGATGATGATTACTGTATATTGTAATGGCAATGTTGATGCAGTCAGAGTTTCCCCCAGAGAGCTTGCTAATTCCATTGGCCAGGGTGCTAGGGCTGTCCACCAGTGGTCCTTCATCCGTCCGTCTGTCCATTTGTCCGTCCATCCGGAACCCCCTATCTTGGAAAAGTCTAGAATTGTTACACATTTTATTTACTTTCACTGCTCAATAGGAAGAAACACATGAACAAAAATCAGACCACAGTTTGTTCATTTCATTGTTCAGCTGAATCATGATAAATTGCATTGTTATACCTTAAATCAAAACTAGCAAAACTGGCTACATTTTTAGCTTTTAGCTTTTTTGTTAAATATCTCAGTTATATTTACATTAATAAGAAGAGTTTGAAACGGGCAGGAGGGGGACTGAGCGTTACCACAAGCCAACAGCTCGGCGGAAGCTGAGAACAGAGGGGTGATATTGCAGAGACATAGAAATAGACAGATTTTATTGTCATTAAACTGTACATTTAAAAATGTACAAATTGAAAGAAATTTTGTTGCAAGGCTTCAATAATAATAAATAAATAAGTAATAAAAGGATCAATTTACCGTATTTTCCGCACTGTAAGGCGTACCTTCAATGAATGGCCTATTTTAAAACTTTTTTTCATATATAAGGCGCATAGAATAGACGCTACTGTAGAGGCTGGAGTTACGTTATGCATCCACTAGATGGAGCTGCACTAAACGGAATGTCAACAAAACAGTCCGACTCCGGTTGGCGAGGAGAGCCTTCCGCGACTGGGTCGGGGCGTGGCCGGCCGATGGTCACCCTTCTCCGTTCGCGCACAGCATGTTCGTGGAGAACGTGGTGCTAAATGACCTGCAGACGACCTGATTCTAGACGGTCGGTAGGTAGATAGGTCAGTCAAACTTTATTAATAGATTACAAACCAGCGTTCTGACAACTATCCCAGCATGCACCGCGCGCTTCTTCTTCTACGGGTGGAAAATGAAGTCAGTGGCTGCTTACCGTAGTTGCCAGACCTGTTGTGGCTCAATATTGGTCCATATATAAGGCTCACCGGATTACAAGGCGCACTGTCGGCCTTTGAGGAATTTGACTAACTTTACAGACTCTTTCATTCATGGTTGTTTTCACGTTTATTGAACTGTTCATATTAGTCTCAATGTTTGCAGTTCTTTGAATGGAATTATTTATTTAAATAAACTTTTTCATGATATAATTTTTGACCAGCACCTGTACTGCTCCCTTAATTTAACAGAACTGCAAAACAAATTTTAATTATATTTTTTTGTGTGTGCTTTTTTTAAAGACTCTATAGTTGATTTTTATGTTAACTTCATTTAAATAAATGCATACACCGAATACAACTTAAAAAATTGTAAAACTCCTGCTCTTTCCAAAACTCCACCTTCAGGAAGTCACCACAATTTGGCTCTGCTGTTAACCCTTTAGCAATGTTTTTACCAGTGTTTCACTGAGAAATAGCTCCTATAATTAACTCATAAGATTTAGTTTCAGCAGCTGTTTGCCAATTGCTGGGAGCGCCCCACTGGAGCTGCAGGGGTGGACTTCTCTCTGAGGTAGAAGCTTGGAAACTATACCTCGAAGGCGGAGCTAGCTCCACCCAGGCGTTTTGCACAGCTGAATGGTTGCCATGGAAATTAAAGGACTTCTCAAACATGTATGAAAGAATCAAGGCAAAACACTCCAGGTGATTTTAATGACAGCATAATATGTTGTAAAGCTCAAAAAAGTTGATTATTACATAATAGGGCCACTTTGTAGCCTCTGCTACCAGGCGGTTTGCACCTCTGCTGACGGGCTCTGGGCTGGAGGTGAGAGGCTGTGAATAGAAGTTACTGCAGAAGCTCAACTGCTATAGGAAGACTTGGCCCATAGCACTTGGAGCTCACAGAATATCACAGACATTACCAAAAATACTGTACCAATAATTTGAGCTGCAGCATAAAGCCAAACATGCCACAATTAAGTAAATCAAAATGTCAAATCAAATGTATTCAGGAAGAGCATTGTGGATTTTGTCCTGATCGTGGGACACTGGACCAGCTCTACACCCTCAGCAAGGTCCTGGAGTTCACCCAACCAGTCTACACTGGTTGTGTAGGCCGGTGTAGACCGGTTGGGCGGTCTACATGCATTTTGTGAACTTGGAGAAGGCATTTGACCGTGTCCCTCTGGGCACCCTGTAGGGGGTTCTCTGAGTATGGGGGAGTATAGGGTACCGGGCCCTTTAATACAGGCTGTCAGGTCCCTGTATGACCGCTGTCAGAGTCTGGTCCGCATTGCCGGCAGTAAGTCGGGCTCGTTTCCGGTGAGAGTTGGACTCCACCAAGGCTGGCCTTTGTCACCGATTCTGTTCATTACTTTCATGGACAGAATTTCTAGATGCACCAAGGTGTGGAGTGGATCCCACTTGGTGACCTTAGGATCGTATTTCTGCTTTCTGTCATGGTAACACAATAATCAAACTACCAAGATGATTAGTTACATCTTTACAAAGTAAACTTCCCAATTAAATGCTAAATGTAAACTATTTTTTTAAATTATTTTATCTCTGCTGAACCCATTAAATAAAATTTAATGCAATTTATTCAGAATTGTTATTCTGAATAAATTAATGCTAAAGTTTTAGATCTGTTGTTTGTGTTACAATTCAACCATTGCACACTGTAAGATGCTTTTTCTCCTGCAGATGGCTTACAAATTCCTCCAGAAGCACCCTAAGGTCCTCGGCAGCAGAATCGCCATGTTGGGTCTCTCCCTGGGCACCAGTGTGATCCTGAAAATAGCTGTGCATTCTCAAATTATGAAGGTTTGATTTAGATCCTGTACACATGGAGCTAAGTAAATTACATTTTCACTTAGATCCATGAAAATGCTGAAAATACAGAAAATGCTTTAGCAGGCATTCCAGGCAATTTGGTGGCACTGCCACGGAAATGCACAAAAAGCACCAAATGTTGAGATTTTTGTTATTGTGAGAGTGAGGCACTACATGATGATCTACACTACACATGATCATGCAAGCCGCATGATCACATAAAATGAGGTCATGCAGTCATGAAAACATACAATTTTTTAAATGTATGCACTCTGTATTACGGTTTTAAAACTAATCATTTCTGGACTCCAAAGATGGGAAACGGGTGTGAACACACAACCTAAAGGACAACAACTATTGCAGATACACCAAAAATTGTCTTTGTGTGGATGAGGTCTTAGATGATTTGATTGAATTTTGTACATCAGAGAAGAAAACGTCTCTGAAAACATTCATTTCTGTTTTCAACTCAATCCACAACAGCAAAGCTAAGATAGTTATGGAGTTTCTGTTTCCATGATTAAAAATGAGACATTTTAAATACATGTGCGTTTTTTGTTCTGTCAGCTAGTAAAGAACAACAGTTGAGATTCTGGTTTCTATCCGTTTCTCATCTGATCAACATCTGTTTGTCTAAAAATGTGTGTATGTGTACTCCAGCTCAGGTGTGCTGTGTGTGTTAGTGGGAGTCATGTGCAGCCAATGGATGGATTCTTGAAGGAGATACTGGATTACTTCAGCAAGTAAGTTCATAAGTTCCCAGTCAGTGGCTGAAATTCTGCATAAAGGCTTCAAATCAATGAACTGAGAAGAGAACAAATAAATCAGAAATATTTGTTTTCATCAGAGTTATCACAACATGTCGTCTATATGACAACCTTCTTTTTCAATAAAGAAACTCTGGGAATACTCACTTTACCAAAGATAACGAGGTGGTCTGGCGAGATCTCCTGTTGCCCATCCCCACTGACCTCTCCCTCAAAGTGGATGTGAGTAACTAAAGGCACAACATGTCTGTTCTTTCCCACATTCAGCTTTAAGTGTACTAATTATTTTAGTTCCAATTGGCAAATCTCTTTCTATAAGAATTTAACTAGAGATGCAACAATACATGTTTTTCACTTCCATTACAGGTTTAGTATCGACTGATATTGATCCGACAGAAAAACATCGCTGAATTTACTTAAAACGTTTCTTTTTTAAAACACAGATAATGTACTGAATTACACATTTATGTGATAACTCTGCACCAGTACACAACGCTTAAATACAGCAGTAGATGCACAATCTTGTTCAAACATGTGGAAACAACACAACTTTAATTTGTTCAGTCAGTGCAACTAGGAATATAACATCCAATATGAATAAATAGATATTGAAACTGACAAAAACAGTAGGTTGACTACCTTGATTAAACATGTAAAAAATAAACTGCAACAAACCTTATTTCACATGGTTCAGAAAATGGAATAAGGAATTCTAAATATAGTGTAAATATAATGTAATAACTCATGATGTTGCTCAGAGTACAAAGAATAGATGAATAGATCTAGATCAGGCACATCGTCACTAATGCCCAGAATTTTTTTTCAATATTAGGACTACCTTGACATTTAACTTTTAGTTAAAATTTGAGTTGATGTGCACAAACATTAAACTAAAAATTCAAGCACTCTCTTATCCATCCATTTGTATTACAATATGTGGGACAGAGACCTCTTGTAAATTTTGATTTGTAACCAGTGTTGATACGCAACTGCTGCACCCCTCCCCTCCCACTCCCTTCACTGAGAGGTTACCACTTTTTTCAGTACAAAGCTTACTAGAAAAGAACTAAATAACATGTGGCTAGCTCCTGGAGGGCTTTTTCCAAAAACAAGAAGTTAAATTAAAACTTCTGTTCGTCTTTGACCAGGTGGGAAAACTCCAGTGTCCCTTGATGCTGGTTGTTGGTGAGGATGATCAGAACTGGTGTGCCTACGAGTCTGCAATGGATGTGAGTTTCCTAACATTAAAAAGTTCTTGACTGAATACAGTAAAGCACATGTATCAAACTCAAGAACCTAGAGCCAAATCTGGCCCTCCATAATTTTATTTATGTGGCCTTGTAGACTGTGGGAGAACACATAAATAGAGCCTTCAAGGTAGCAGTTATGTGCTTAAACATTATTTTATCAATCAAAACAGTTTTGTCTATATACTACCAAAGTACATCAATGTGAAAAGATGTTCAATATTACTTAATTTGAAATAATCAAATGCAGAGACAGTTATTCATATTTTCACAGTTTGTTGAAGTGTCATTTATTGCATTCTGAAAGCATAGCCCCTGTCAAATTTTGAAAAATTCCATCAGAGCCAAGAGACACAGCCAAGTCTGGGGATGATTGGAGGTATGGAGATGAGCAAGGCTGCGATCAGGACGACAGCAAACCTTCATCATTAGTCAGAGCAAAGCAGACCCATTTAACTGTGTCCCAGCTGCTGAGCTCATCATGCAAACTAATTCTCAGTGAAACGTTGGTAAAATCATTGTTAATGGCTTAACAAAAAAGCATTATTATGGCCATGTGCTGAAGGTTGAGTGCCGGAAAGAGCAAGAGCTTCTTAAAGAGACAAAGGCCAATTTCAAGGCATCTAACAGCAAAGTCATGTTTAATTTAAATGACATTATTTATAACAACTGAAGGTCATTCAGTTGTTATAAAGAGTTGCCATTTTATAGCACAGTTATTATGCTATTAAATGGCATTATGTGCCTGGAACATACATCTGAGTTCACTGTCTGCAGCCTGATTACTGGCACTCCTGTTCTCAGTCAAGACATCACTTACTCTGGACCTGCCTGACGAACTGAAGGACACCAAAAGATCCTCAAAAGCTAGATATTATGCTGACCTTCAAAGAAATTCAGGAACAAATGAGAGAAAGTAACTGAGACCTATCAGTCCAGAAAGGATTACAAAGCCATTTTCTAGCTCAGGGACTCCAGTGAGCCACAGTGAGAGCCGTTATCCACACATGGTGGAAACATGGAACAATGGTGGAGATTCCCAGGAGTGGACAACTGACCAACATCACACCAAGAAAGACAGCATAATGTCATCCAAGAACTGTAGGCCTCACTTCCCTCAAGTAAGGTCATGCCTGAGGGCACCATAAAAAAGAGACATGGAGCAAAAAGGACATGCATAGCAGAGTTCCAAGGTGAAAACCACAGCTGAGCAAAAAGAACATTAAGACTGTACTTTGTTTTTTCAGAACTCATCTTGATGATCCCAAACACTTTAGGAAAGCATTGTGTGGACTGATGAGAGAGAAGTTGAACTCTTTAGACAGTGTGTATTCTGTTACATCTGGTGTAAAAGTAAAAGTTGGTATGATGATTTCAGAAAAAATCATCATACCACCAGGAAAACATGATGGTGGCAGTGTGATTGTCTGGGGCTGTTTTGCTGCTTCAGGACCTGGAAGCTAAATGGAACCATGACTTCTGCTGTTGACCAAAACATCCTGATGGAGAACGTCCACCCATCTGTTGGTGACCTCAACCTGAAACCAACTTAGGTTTTGGGATTACATATTATATTAGTAGTGGGATTACAGTATGCTACAGTTACACTTTTGGTTTACCATAATTGCTAATGAAGTACACTTTTTAGTTACTTATTGTCTTATTATTCTGCTTTGCCACTTTGCACATTACATGTTTCATACACACATCAGTACTGCAAACACATCAGGTTACCAGAACACAGAAGGATCCATTACAACACACTTTCCAGGTGAAAGTAATTACATTGTGTAGTCAATATATTCACATTTTTCAAGAGTACATTGCCAATATACTATCACAGAACTGTTCAAATTGTCAATATATTAAGAGTTTACAGACAACATGCTTATGAAAATCAGCACAATGAAACAATAGGTACACTTTAGAGGACATGTGAAAAATGTTTCACCAAGGAAAGAGTATCGTTTTGATACAATGTCACAGTATTCCATTATTACTGCAGACAAACTGACATTTCTCCTCCATGCAGTTATAACATGAAGCTAAATGATTGTTATAGTAATAATCATAAAAATCACAAACTGGTAACTATTTCCGAAACCAACGTAAGTTTGTTTATATATGTACTGCACTGTTTATAGTTAAACAAAGATAATTAGCATTTTAAGCAAACTTACCACTAGCTAGTAGTAACTAGCTAACGTGTTAGCCCTTCGGTTCCTTTTGTGACTCACATTTCATTTCCATCCGGTTGTTGTCCAGTTGTGTTGTCGTCTAACTTGGACTAGGACGTCACCAGCTTGAATTTACCAAAACTACTAAATATTATCAAGACTCTCTCTATTTTTAAGGCAATATTATGCGAGTAATAATGGCAAATTTTAACAGCATCTGTTATCTTCACTGGATTCATGGTTGTTCTTTTTATGGCGCTTTTCAAAAAAACCTAAAAGTGTGCAATACTGTCACCATCTGGTCTGGAATGTGAACTTGAGCTAATGCCGTTCAGTAATAGATCTTACATCATACAAAAATGGGTTGGAAAAAACAGCTTCTGTGTTTTAGTTAAATAACTGAAAACAAAAGATCATATTTGGAAAACTTAAGATACCTGCAACATTATTATGCAACAAGTATTGTTTTTGTTGTAGAACCTACTAAACTGTCAATCTTTGATATTTTGAGGCATGAACACATTACTTTCTTTGTTAAATATTACATCAAGTTCCACTATAAGGATTATTATTTTTCTTTATTCTTTGCCATTTTAACAAAAATAGTAAAAGATTATTAAGGCACTTAAAAGGCAAACTTTGTTAGCCTAAAGTATACACTCGGATGTAATTTAAAACATACCAAAATTTCAGCATATTTAATAGTTTACTTTCCAACTAAAGCAGGGGTGTCAAACTCAATTTCACCGAGGGCCACTTCAGCATATTGGCCACCCTCAAAGGGCCACATTGACGGTACAAATCAGGAGGGCATCCCTGCTAAAACACTCCAGGCAAAAGGTTGACTTCCCTCATTAGCAGCAACTCAGTTCTGTAGACCTTTATAATGAGACAATGGTCCAGGTGTGTTAGAGAAGGAACGCATCTAAAGTTGCAGATGGTAGCTCTGGAAAACTAGACTTGGGCACCCCTAGCA